CTCTGCCTGGAAGCTTGCCTTTTTCTCCCCCTGAGTATGCATCAGGTCTCATTTCTCCCTCAGAGATTTTTATCCTTAATCTTAAGGGGCTGAAGACAAGCAGAGATCATTTTCTATAACTATTTCTGGGTGGCTTTGGGCTGCTGGTCCTGCCTTTGCAGGGAGAGGACCTCACTGGCTATTTCAAAGAAAGTCAGAGATCTTTCTGGTGGCTCTGTGGTGGGGAAGGAGTGGAAACCTTTCAGGAACATCATTTTGGCAGAGATTGTTGACTTCTAGAAGGTTAAAAATGTAGACAGCAGCCCAGCGTGGTGCATATGCCTACAGTACCAGCACTGGGGAGGCAGAGGCAGGTGGATCTCTGTGAGTTCAAGGCCAGCCTGGTCTACATAGTGATTTCCAGGACAGCTGGGGCTACAGGGAGACCCTGTCTCAAAAAAGACCAAAAAAAAAAAAAAAAAAGCAGAGACAAAATATAAGGACCAGAATAATGGTTAGCAGGCCAGAAGAATGGTGGCACAGGCTTTTAGTCCCAGCATTCAAGAGGCAGAAGCAGGAAGATCTCCTAGCACAAGCACCTTTGATATAGCTGCCACCATAGGGTCCAGGGCCTAGGATCTGGGCTTCACTTTGCTGATCTAAAGACCTTTGAATTCTTGCTTCCAGACAATTCAAATATCCTATGGTTGGGGAAAACAACATAAAGTTACTTTATGAAATTGAGAGTATATCTGAAGGTATATTAAAATAACAAAATGGGGGCTGGAGAGATGGCTCAGCAGTTAAGAGTACTGGCTGTTATAGTACTGGGTTTGGTTCCCAGCACTATATGGCCGTTAACAACAACCGTCCATAACTCCAGTTCCAGGAGATATGATGCCCTTTTCTGACCTCCATGGGCTTTGCATAACATGGTTGCACTTACATACATGCAGGCAATACACCCAAACACACAAAATAAAAATAATAAATAAAAAATTTTAAATAACAAAATGTGAAAGGCTAGGTGTGGTGGCTCACACCTGTAATCCCAGGACTCAGGAGGCTAAGACAGGAGGATTTCTGTGAAGTCAAAGCCAGCCCTGGGCTATATAATGAGTTCCAGGTCAGCCTGGGCAACAGAGTGAAACCCTGATGTGCATGTGTGCATACACACACACACACACACACACACACACACACACACACACATACTCATAATGGAAGGAAACACTCCGTGTTAGTAGTGGGACTGGGGAATCTGGACATTTTGTGACTGCTGAGTAAGATGTCATAGGTGTGGAGGGAGACTATGGGAGTCTGTCACCTTTTCTCTTGGGACACTAAAATAGCTGTTTTGAATGTCCTAATTTCCCAGCTTCTCCTCTGGGCTGCAGATGATCCCTTTTAGGTCACTACCTATAATCTCTGCTCCAGGGAGAGGCCTGTTTTTTAAAGCAAAACTGTAACAGAATTTGAATCAGTCCTTCAGGTATCATCCCCCACCCCAAGCAATCCTTCTCTGGATGGAGAGAGGGGATTGGGAACTGTACTGCTGCTGCTTTAAGAGGCGACTGCAGCCACACTGGGGAAGAGGCAGGGCAAGGTGAGCAAAAGCACCATAAAGTTTCCTAGTGTTTTCTGGGAGAGTTTTTTTTCTCTTTGATTGTTTGCTTGGTTGCTATAGACCTTTGTCTGTCTTTTTGGAGTGCCTACAAAGTTCTGATATCTCTGCTTGTTTTTATCAATGTTTCTATAGATAGAGACTACCTTAGAACTTCCTTGTTTGCTGTTTTTCTGATGTCACTCCTAAATGGTGTATTTTGTAACATTATTCATTGATACCTCAGGACTACAAGATGGTTGCCACAACTCCAGATATCCAGTCAATATCCAGGGCATGAAAAGCAGGGAAGGCTAGAGTACCATGCCATCAACCCAAGTCTTGTTTCATAAGGAAATCTAGAACTAGATCATATGGCCACTAGCTACAAAGGGGGGCTGTGGGGACAGGGAGCAGCCCCTCCTGAACTGTAGGCACAGTCCTTCACCAAATAGAGTCCTGGTTCTGATGACAAGAAAAGAAGGTACAAATACTAGGCTGGTTACCCCTAATGAGCCAGAAGTCAACACTATGATTATTCTCATTCACACTGGCCAGAGGACTGCCCGGCAAAGAGAACATGGTCCAGGCCAGGTGACTAGCTTAGCAGAGCCACCTTCCTTATCTTTTCACATGGACCCTCAAACTTTGAATGCAGAGAAGCCAGTGAGTGAGCACTCCTGACAACTCTGGGGACAGACTACACAGCTTTCCTGTGCACACTGCAAGGCATCCACTTGAGGCCTGGCTACCAAGGACTGCTTTGCCCTATGCTGCAACCCTGACTTAGTAATGGAATGCTATCCTGGTCCCTTCTCCAGGCTCACTGAATAACCACATTTTAGTCACAGTTAATCTTATGAATAGTAAAAAGGAAGTTGAAATGAGAGCTCAGGGCTGGGTATGTCATTCAGTGGTGCAGCATCTGCTTATGATGTGCAAAGCCCTGGATTCAGTCCTCAGTACCACCCTTACCATTCCCAAAACAACCCTGAGGTATCATTTCATCAATTAACAGTTACTAAGTTAGTAAAGTCTGACAAATATAGTGCACGATTAGGTGAAAATGTGGTGAGACACTGCTTATGGTTGCTGGCATCAGTGGAAAGGACCCTTGTCACTATGTATCTGTCAGTTGAGGGTTGGGACCGACCCTTAGCTAGATACCAATATCAGGTAATCTCCTGATGATCCTAGGTTAGACTGAGTACACTTAATAATCATAAACATGGGCTGGGTGTGGTGGTGCCCATCTTTAATCCCAGTGCTTGAGAGAGCAGAGATAGGCAGATTGAGTATAGAGTTTCAGGCTAGCTGGAGCTACAGGGAGATTCTATCTCAGAAAAACAACTACAAAAAGAATCATAAACATGTATTCAAATTCATAAAATATCACCTCCGGGAACTTGTTTTAAGAAGATAAATTTTAAAAGGAAGAAACAAAGAAGTTAGCTGGAAGCTTATTATTTATAATAGTGAAATCTTGGAAGGCCTGGGAAAGTAGAACATTGACTGCGCAGTGGATCATAATCCCAAATAGAAGTGCTGGTCAGAGACCAAAGGCAATGCATATTGATGTTGAAGAGCAGCAGGTACACATGCTGGTGTCATGTTCATGACAGAACATGTATGCCCAGGTGAGGCCTGGAGGGACCCCATGCAGGCCGTGGAGGTAAGACTGATGAAAACCTTCCTCTCTGTCCCCAGTGCGACTGTGTTGCTCTCATACTCTTTGGGCCTCAGAAAAGAACCCAGACCACGGATCTGGGCCCCATCCATCTGGTGCCAGGCTGGACATAGCTGCATAACCCTCATGAGAACTGAGATAAAGAAGACAGGGCTGCAGAGTCCTTCATTTGGGCACTTGGGGTCTTCACATGTCAGTAGCAACTTCTTGCTGTCAGGGTTCTTGATGTGGGAGCACAGTGGCTAAATGTCCCTAGGCTCAGGCTTCCAGGAATGGCCTCAATCAATGACTTGTGCATGTGCAGAAAGTGTCAAGTTCTTATTCTTTGGAGGGAATCCTCTAGAGAGTGTTCCTGCCATCCCCTGCAGGTCCCAGGGGGCAGCGACTGTCTTGAATGCATCTTGAACCATTTCTGCTCATCTCCTGGTTCTTTTAATTAATTCATTAGTTAATTTTTATTTTTATGTGTATGATTGTTTTGCCTGCATGTGTGTAATGCATCTATGTCATGCAGTGTCCTCAGAGGCCAGAGAAAGGAGTCAGATGCCCTGGAACTGGAGTTATGTGCCATGTGGGGTGCTGGGAACTGAACCCAGACTCTCTTTAAAAGCAGCCAGTACACTTAACTGCTGAGCCATCTCTCCAGCACCACGTTTCCTGGTTCTTTACCTGTTCACTTTCCTGCTGTAACCTGAGGTTATCTTCCATTTGCCTTAGAACACTTGTCTCAGCGTCTGTATATGGGGGAACCAGATGACAACACCTAGCCCAAGACGGAAAGAAGTCAGTCTCATGGATGCCATCCAGGAGCAAAGACAGAGCCAGGAGGTGCTGGATGGGGTTATCTATCTGCACAAAAGCAGGTCCTGGACCCTTCCTCTCCGCCTCTGCTGTCCTTTGCCTAAGCCTGGAAAGCTCTCTTTTGAGTTTACTGGGGTCCATGGAACACTGGGTGATGGGGAATAGGCCCCTCCCTGCAACTGTTTCATGGGCAGCTTTGAAGAATTATCAGAAGCTCAGCCTTGGCAATAGGGGCCAAAGTCCTGGCACATTTTTTTGATAGCAGATCCCAAGGGAAGATGGAAGATTCCTATCCAGAAAGAGCAGAAAGTGTGTACTATGCACTGGACCCAGGTAGGGTACAGTGGCCGCCCCAGAGCTCCCAGACAAAGTTGGCCAGTAGACCAGGCCAGCGTCAGAGACAAGAGAGAGACAGAGGGCAGGAGTGAAGAGGAAGGGTGAAGAAAGCAGAGGAATCCGGGGTCTCTCTGTTCCTGTTGGATCCTGAAGGGAACTTCCGTCACTGCTTCACTCCACCCTCAATGTCCCTTTGTTATCTGGCTGTTAATATCAATTAATCACAGTTGCTAAAGGTGATAGCTCAGAGGATGAGTCTGAGCCTACACTTGAAGCTGGTCCCAAGAGGCAGTGGGTCAGAGTACAAGTTAGAGGCCAAGTCCAGGATAATGTTGACACTCTGGAAGCTATGCTAAGCCCCAAGGCCAGAGTCAGACCAGTGGCTAGGGCAGTAGGGGATGAACCATGAGTCTCTTGCTCAGTTGGTTCCACTCTCACTAGGATTCATTTGCATCAGGAAATGAATGGGGACCTGACACCTTCACCAAGAAGCTCCTCTAAGAGGGGGACCCATGGAATGGTGCCTTCTGAAGGGAGGGAACAGTGTGTGAATCATTAACCCTAATCATTGCTTAGCCCTATTGATCCCAATGCTGTCAGACCAGGGCTGTCACTGGGAGGAGGAGGCTGACTAGGGCCTTGTCCTCAGCCATCTCCAGCTGTCTCTGAGGCCTGATCCTGCTTCTCCTTGATCCCTCCCTGGCCCTGGGATGGCAGCTGGCCTGTGGGGCTGGCTACTTTGTGCCCTGCTCCTGAATTCGGTGAGTCTATTGCTCATGGCCACTCCTCAGTGCCTCTCATTAGGGTAAGACAAGCTGGGTGCTTGGCAGGGTGGGAGGGTCATAGGGCTAGGGGAGGTTTTCATGCTTCCACAGGAGAAGTGCTGGTGGAAGGTCTTTAGGTCATGAGGCTGAAGGGACAAAGGGTCCAGAGGGACAGATGGATGGAGACCTCCCTTGTAGTTAAGTGGGATTGAATCAGGTGCTGGAGGTAGGTCCCTGGGTGAATATCACTTGGAATATCTTGGGTTTTAGAGGAAAGATTTGGCTTCTGCCTTTTAAGATCATCACTTGCTCTCAATGGTGGGTGATGGTATTTGGTTTCATGCAGGGGGTGGGACAGAGGGCTCCTGCACAGAACCTCCACAAGGGTCCCCAGCCTCTGGCATCATATGCAGCCCAGGGACTCAGAGAGACAGTAATGTGGGCCCCTCCACAAGGGTCCCCAGCCTCTGGCATCATATGCAGCCCAGGGACTCAGAGAGACAGTAATGTGGGCCCCTCCACAAGGGTCCCCAGCCTCTGGCATCATATGCAGCCCAGGGACTCAGAGAGACAGTAATGTGGGCCCTTCCACCACCTCCATTGGCATCGCTGAGCCTCCATTGGCACTGTAACTGCAGTACAGTACATGCCCTATGATTTCTCCATAGCTCTCCCAGTCCCTTACTCAGTGGACTTCCTTCTCACATACCCTCTCTGGCCTCTCAGTGCTCAGTCAGTGTCTGACTGTGCCAACTAGCTGCAGGGTCCACAGGAGCCATTGATTTTTTTCTGTAGGCCCAGGGTAAGCTATACACACCCATCCACAAGGCTGGCGTCTGCACCTTTTATGAAGAATGTGGGAAGAATCCAGAGCTGTCCGGAGGCCTCACATCACTGTCCAACGTATCCTGCCTTTCTAACACACCAGCCCGCCATGTCACAGGTGACCACCTGGCCCTCCTTCAGCGCATCTGTCCCCGTCTCTACAATGGCCCCAACAACACCTATGCCTGCTGCTCTATTAGACAGCTGATGTCACTGGAGAGCAGCATGTCCATCACCAAAGCCCTCCTTACCCGCTGCCCGGCCTGCTCTGACAACTTTGTGAGCCTGCACTGCCACAATACCTGCAGCCCTGACCAGAGCCTTTTCATCAATGTCACCCGAGTGGCTGTGCTGGGAGTTGATCAACCCTCTGCTGTGGTGGCATATGAAGCCTTCTACCAGCGTAGCTTTGCGGAGCAGGCCTATGAGTCCTGTAGCCGCGTGCGCATCCCTGCAGCTGCCTCACTGGCCGTGGGCACCATGTGTGGTGTATATGGTTCTGCCCTTTGCAATGCCCAGCGCTGGCTCAACTTCCAGGGAGACACAGGGAATGGCCTGGCTCCTCTGGATATCACTTTCCACCTCTTGGAGCCGGATCAGGCACCGGCAAATGGAATGCAGCTTCTGAATGGGGTGATCACACCCTGCAATAAGTCCCAGGGTGAAGGCTTGGCAGCCTGTTCCTGCCAGGACTGTGCAGCATCCTGCCCTGTCATTCCCCAACCCCCAGCCCTGCGCCCCTCCTTCTACATGGGTCGAATGCCAGGCTGGCTGGCTCTCATCATCATCTTCAGTGCCGTCTTTGTGTTGCTCACCTTTATCCTTATTCGCCTTCGAGTGGCTTCTAGCAAGAAAAATGGCAAGGCAGTGGGACCCCAGGCAGCCCCCAGCCGTGCTCAAAAGCGCAGCCTCACACTTCACACTGTCCTTGGCAATTTCTTCCAGAGCTGGGGCACAAGGGTGGCCTCATGGCCGATCACTGTCCTGGTGGTGTCCTTCCTATTCGTGATAGCGTTGGCAACAGGCATGATTTTTATAGAACTCACCACAGACCCTGTGGACCTGTGGTCGGCCCCTAATAGTCAAGCCCGCAAGGAGAAGGCTTTCCACGATGAGCATTTTGGCCCCTTCTTTAGAACCAATCAGGTTTTCCTGACAGCTCTTAACCAGTCCGGCTACATATACAACTCCCTGCTGCTGGGGCCCAAGAACTTCAGCGGGATCCTATCCCTGGACCTGCTGCTGGAGCTGCTGGAACTACAGGAGAGTCTTCGACATATGCAGGTGTGGTCACCTGAGGCAGAACGCAACATCTCCCTTCAGGATATCTGCTATGCTCCCCTCAAACCACACAACACCAGCCTCTCTGACTGCTGTGTCAACAGCTTCCTTCAGTACTTCCAGAACAACCGCACGCTCCTGCTGCTTACGGCCAACCAGACGCTGAATGGCCAGACTTCCCAGGTGGACTGGAGGGACCACTTTCTCTACTGTGCTAAGTGAGTGGATCTGAGGGGAGCAGGTGGGGGCTGCTATGGCTTTCTGGGAAGCAGGCCGGAACATAGCTCCATCCTGTGGAGTCAGCGACAACTCTCACACATGCCCATCAGGGCCATCATGTATCTGAGTCTCTTTAGGCCCCTTCTTGGATTTCATTCTTAGTGTGCCTGCTCTCTGTAGCAAATCTGTATGTGGCCATCGCAGCCCCTCTTTCCTCAAAGCTCCTGGTGTGGCCTTAGTTTAAATCTCAAAGGTATCGAGATGGCTCACCTAGTGTTTGTGCTGCATTGTTTTTGGTTCTTGCCTCTTGTGCCATGCTCTGTCAGGTCCTTAGAAGCCTGGAGATTACCTGGTATGACTAGAAAAAGGTGACTTCGGGCCAGGCCAGGTCTCTGGCCCCAGGCATCAGGCCAGGGGTCCCAGTGCAGTTTCATCCACATCCTTATGCTGTTTGGGGTTCTGTTCATTGCTTTGAACATGTTGGGTGGTAAAACAATACTAGGCCTTGGGGCTGAGGGAAGGGAGATTAGGGGGCCTATAGCACTGGAGGCTCTTGGAGGAAGGAGAGAAGCGAGGTGCACCAAATGGCCTTCTTCTATCCCTCTACTCAAGAAGAGATGAGACTTAAAGCAGCTAATAGCCTCTGAGGGCTATTGTTAAAGCAGTGTTGACCTTGCAGACTTTGGAAAGGGTCCTAGGACTCTAAGGACCCCAGGCTTCACACCCTTTGAGATTCACTAGATTAGAGTAGAAAGCCTTTATCCCCACTCTCAGCTGAGTCTTAAGTGTGGGAACTTCCTAGAGTGTCTGTGCCCTGAGCCAGTGTCTTATCCTCAGAAACAGTAGAACAGAGAGGAGCTGTTGGGCTGCTCTGAGGAGGCACCAGGGATCACTCTTTCATGTCTGTTTTCTTAGAGTCACACTCTTCAGTCTGGGTTGGCCTTAAATTCTTGTTCTTCCTACCTCAGCCTCCTCAGTACTAGGGTTGTAGGCCTACTCCACGATGCTTGACTTATGCTATCTTCATTTTGATTTTGGATGCTCACAACTCTTGGTGATCTGATTATGCTCAGGAAAATTGAGGCTCAGAATAGTATCCTAAGCTGCTCAAGGTCACACAGTAATTAGCTCTCAAGTGGTGCTATTGACCAACATACTCACTTGCTCAGAGAGCTTTGTCTAGTATTCTACTCTGTCTCCACAGAGATGTGCTTTGCAGAAAGAGTTTAGTTGAAGAGGACAGGCCTGCCCACAGGCATTGACTGGTAGCTATGGACACATGACTCTGGTCTCTAGAGTTCAACTTGGAGCATTTCTTTCAGGCTCTGCAAGGGAAGAGGCAGAAAGGCATTGAGACCTGTGCAGGGGACAGGCCATGGCGCAAATCTAGGCTCTTCACTTAAGTGTGTTGCTCACCTGGGAATAGGATAATGACATATCTAGAAAGTCTCACTGTGTGAAGGTACATAGGAAGCTCAGAAAGACCAGCCTACAGGTCCTACCTGGACCAAAGGAGGTGCCCAGGGTAGTCCCCACCCCGTTCTGTGGATTGGGGCCCACATGAGACCTTGTGGGAAGTTGTCCGTTTAGGACCCTCTAGGCCAGGCAGTCTGCAACCAGTGATTCTCCTTTAGGGTGCTGAGGGCCAAGGGCAGAGAGGGCGGGGGCTGAAGGAACCAGGCAGAGCCAGGAAAGGCCCTTTCCCTTTGTGGTTTGTCTCTAGTGCACCCCTCACCTTCAAAGATGGCACATCCCTGGGTCTGAGCTGCATAGCTGACTACGGGGCCCCTGTCTTCCCTTTCCTTGCTGTTGGAGGGTATGAAGGTAAGTGGGGTAGGTCCTAGGAGGCCAGTGAAGGAGCAATAGTAAAGTAGGAATAATAACGAGGAGGGAGGGGCAGGGATGGGTGTTACCAATGTCCAGGGGCCTGGCTTATAGGGGCTACACATGATGCATCCTGCCTCCTCTCTGATTCTCCCCTCATCTTCTCATAATGCTGCCCAGGGGATCTAGTTTTGTGTGGGGGCCCAAAGGCCTTGCCTTTGACTGGGTGAGGGAAATGGAGCATGAGATAAGGCCATTATTGGGATGGGGAAGGCAGAGAGGAACCAGAATGGGAGAAGTCAGGGGTATAGTTGGAGGAGGAGGGAGGCAAGGGCACAGGAGGAGGGACCCGAGTTTCTCTTCCCAGGGGAGGACTACTCTGAGGCAGAGGCACTGGTCATGACCTTCTCTCTCAATAACTACCCTGCTGATGATCCCCGGATGGCCCAAGCCAAGCTCTGGGAAGAGGCCTTCTTGAAGGAGATGCAAGCTTTCCAAAAGAGAACAGCTGACAAGTTCCAGGTTGCATTCATGGCTGAGGTAGGAACTGCAGGGTTCCTGATTCTACAAGAGCAATCCCATCTTGGGTCAGTCAATTCCAATGTGCCCATCCTGGCCCTCCCTATTCTTCTGAGTGGCCCTAAATGGTGAGCACCTGTGCCCACATACATGGTATTTGCTAGAGGCTTCCCCAGGGCATGCAGCGACTACTCAGCACAGAAACCTGTGTTGTCAGTGGGCTGGTTGTATGCTTACAGCGCTCTGTGGAGGATGAGATCAACAGCACCACTATCAAGGACCTACCCATCTTTGCCATCAGCTACATTATTGTCTTCTTGTACATCTCCCTGGCTCTGGGCAGCTACTCCAGATGGAACCAAATACTGGTGAGAGTGAGAGGGACACAGCATGGGGGACTCAGGGCCTTGTACATTTCTAGAAGGCCTTCTAAAGTTTTCTTACAGAGGGCACCTTAAAATAGCAAGTTGGACGTATATAAAAGAGACTCCTCCAAAAGACAATATTTCTTAGATGTGTTCTATGTTGAAGGGTTGAGTTTTCTTTCTACTCTCTAACATATCCACTATCCAAATGCAAACCTAATATTTAAAAATGCCTTGTGGGGTTGAAGAGATGACTTGGTGGTTAAAAGCACTGGCTGCTCTTGCAGAGGATCTGGGTTCAATTCCCAGCACCCATATGGTGGCTAATAACTGTAACTGCAGTTCCAGGGAAATCGAATGCCTTCTTCTGACCTCCTCAGGCATTGTAAGACACATGTGCACTTACACACATGCAGGCAATACACTCATACACATTTAAAAAAAATGCCTTGAGCTGGGTGCAGTGGCACATGCTTTTAATCCCAGCACTTGGGAGGCAGAGGCAGGCAGATCTCTGTGAGTTCAAGGCTAGCCTGGTCTACATAGTGAGTTCCAGGACAGCTGGGGCTACAGAGAGACCCTGTCTCAAAAAGACAAAAAAAAAAGCCTTGTAATGCAGTTTTAGAAAGATATAATCAGGCACATCTGCACTTTTGGTGCCATGGGCCTGCCCTTTGGGAGGATGGTTTTGTACCGGGGCTTAAATGCACACAGGAGCGCTTCATTGAGGTGGGGGCCATTAAGTGCCTGTGGTCACACAGGGTTCCTGTCAGCTGTGTGCTCCTCACCCAGTCTGGGAGTAAGGAGGGTCTGGAAAGGTGTCTTGGTAGCCAAGAGGCTGAGACAGGTGCATTGCAGGTGGAATCCAAGATCACCCTGGGCCTAGGTGGTATAGCTGTGGTGCTGGGAGCAGTCGTGGCTGCCATGGGCTTCTATTCCTACCTGGGCATCCCCTCCTCCCTGGTCATCATCCAAGTAGTACCTTTCCTGGTACTGGCCGTGGGGGCTGACAACATCTTCATCTTTGTTCTCGAATACCAGGTAAGAAGGGAGGGGTTCTTCATAGCCACTAGCAACCTCAACGTTCTTGTCAGAGCCCCACCTAGAGTGGCTGGGCATTCTTGCAGACTCTTCTCTGCAGGGTTATAGCTGTAGAAAATAGCATGCATTGGCATAAATACATAAATTGTATTTATGTACATAAATTGACATCTTGTGGATGTCATCTTGACCTTGCTTTTGGTTAAGCCTGTACAACATCTGTGAGCTTTCTATTTTATTGTATTAGAGCCACCTCCTTCCTGCCTTTACACTGCTGTGTATCATTCTATGCTAAGCACAAACCAGAGTCCATTTAAACTATCCTTGCTGTCAAACATTTGGGGTGATAGGATGCTTTGGAGCATCCTATTTGCATCTGGAATGCACCAAGCATTTCTTTGGGCCACACCAGAGAAGCAGAAAGTATGGTTTTGAGTTGTTAGTATGGTCAGTTTCTGTTTCCAGGTCAGGCATTTCCTCGGGTTTGGCTGGGACTCTAAGCCCTTGTGTCCTCTGTCTCTGTTTCCACAATAGAGAATGCCTCGAAACCCTGGGGAGCAGCGAGAGGCCCACATTGGCCGTGTCCTGGGCAGTGTAGCCCCCAGCATGCTGCTGTGCAGCCTCTCTGAGACCATCTGCTTCTTTCTAGGTGAGCAGGGGTAATCTCCTCTACCCAGGACCTACCCTGCTAAGTTAGTCTGGGAGGGGGCGGAGGTTCTCAAAGGGCAGTGAATGCTGGCAAAACTTCTTCGTGCTTAATACAGTCTGTGCTGGCATCCACTGGGCCCATGATGCCAAGACGACTTGACCCTCCCCACCAGGGGCCCTGACCCGCATGCCAGCTGTGCGGACCTTCGCCTTGACCTCTGGCCTAGCGATTACCCTCGACTTCCTTCTACAGATGACTGCTTTTGTGGCCCTGTTCTCCCTGGATAGCAAGAGACAGGAGGTAGGGGAAACTGTACCAGGACCAAGAGACTTACCCTGCCTTGTGATGTGATTACTTACTACAGAAGTGGTCAGGAGAGTTGATAGGGAGCAAGGGCATTATTCTGGAAGAGGGCATTTGGGTTGTATGTTTCCCCACTTCCCATAGAAAGATAATTTGATTTTGGTTATTTTTGGAAATATGATCAAACCTTCTAAAGGCATGTACATTTACAAAAAAATTATAAATAAGACATTGACAGTGCTGGGCCTGGTGGACCATGCCTTTAATCCATCCCAGTACTCTGGAGGCAGAGACAGGCAGATCTCTGTGAGATTAAGGCCATCCTGGTCTACACAGTAAATACCAGGCCAGGTGGGCTACAGGGAAGTCCTGTCTCAAACCAACAAATTTGACAGAAGTCAACCTGGTGGTCCTGTGGTGCTATAAAATTCAATATTTGATCAAGGTAGACAACAAAAGCAGACTTCACAATGGCCATCTGCAGGACTCGCCTGGATGAAGTGGTCCCTGGGGTCTGTTTTGGACCCATGGTGAGAGACTGCCTGTCATCCTCTAGGCTTCCCGTCCCGATATCTTATGCTGTCTTACATCCGGGAAACAGCCCCCATTTGACCAAAAAGAGGGGCTCCTCCTCCGTTTCTTCCGTAAAATATATGCTCCCTTCCTGCTGCACCGGTGGATTCGCCCTGTTGTGGTAAGTGGGCTGAAGGGCTGCAGGCCTGTACCACCGAGGGAGAGAGAATGGGGAGAGAGGAGTGGTTGCCCAGGTTGGAGCTCTAGTCTTATTCAACTCCAGGATGTTGTCCATGAGGCCCTAAAGCCATTCAAGTTCGGGAGAAGATGGGGCCCGTTGGGGGTGAGGTTCTCACTCTGCCAGTTTCTTCTTCAGCTGCTGCTGTTTGTAGCCCTGTTTGGAGCGAATCTCTACTTCATGTGCAACATCAGTGTGGGACTGGACCAGGAGCTAGCTCTGCCTAAGGTGAGCCTGGTTCTTCTCAGCCTGTGGTTCCCTGAGACCTGAGAGGGGCAACAGCGTTCAGCAGGTGGGGGCCACATGGGAAAACTGTGCAGTTAACTCTCAGTGGACCTTGGAGAGAAGCCACATTCGTGTCTGAAAAGTGCAAGTGCCAAGTACCAGCTCCGGGCACAGTAGGTGTTCTGCATCTGAAAGTTGTCCTTGTGGTGGCTCTCCACACAGACTGGCTGTCAATTCCTTCTATGTGAATTCCTTACCCACACTTCTTGTTTATATTTTTTGGTGCTGGGGATCAAATCTAGGGCCTCACATGTGGTAGGAAACTTGCTATTTCCCCAGTCTGTTTTCTGATTTTGTTTTTTAAGTAATAGTCATCCTCCTGGTTGTGAAGTAAGTATCTGTCTGTTTTTATTGGTGGGTTCTTTAGTTTTGTTTGTTTGCTTTTGTTGTTGAAGTAGGGTCTTACTATGTAGCTCAGACTGGTCTGGAACTTTCTGTCTTTCCTCAGCCTCTTGAGTACTGGCTACAGGGATGCATGACTGCTTGGCTTTATTGTGGTTTTGATGTGCATTTTGCTGATAACTAGTAATATTGAGCATCTTTTCAGATACTTAGCAATCATCTATATATCTTTTTTGAGAACATATGTATATAAGTCCTTTTCTCATTTTTAAATCAGGGTGTTTGTATGTTTTGTTGTTGTTGAGTCTTAAAATATTTTTGTTGAATTTTTGTGTATTTCATATAATAGAACTTAATTAAATTTAGACCCCCCACATCCACACCCTCTCATACCACACCCATTGGATTTCATGCATTCTGTCATGTATGTTAAGTCCTATCTGATCAAATATTTGTATCCAGATGTCCCTCGGTGCAAGTTCATCCACTGGAGTCTAGTCAGCCTATCTAGAGTCTCTCACTTAAAGAAGATCTAGTCTTCCTCACCCATCAGTAATCAGCTGCCACTAGTTCCTTGGCTAAGGTTGGGGCCTTTTGACCATTTCTGCAATTCTGTACTGAGTTTTTGTCTGAGTTGGCATGGGTCTTGTACATGCTATCACCATTGTTGCAAGTTCATATGAGCAAGTTGCCAGTGGCCTGAAAGCCTCTGTTTCCTTATGTTCATGCACCAACCCTAACTCTTACAAGCTTTCTGTCCCCTCTTCCACAATGGTCACTTAGTCGTGGGTGGGTGAGGTTTAATAGAGGACATGCGATCTGAAGTCTCTTGTTCTCTAAAACTTAAGAGTTGTGACCTTTTGTGTACATCGCACTTTATTGTGAGGAAGCTTCGTTGCTGAAAGTTCAAAGATGTATTAATATTCTCTCCACCGCGTTCTGCTTTGTTCCATGAATCTTAGATGCAGACGTTCTACTGCAGATGTGTCACTTAGGGTGAGGCATCTCTTAGAACTTAGTTTGGTTGTAGAACTCTGTAATAGCCTCCAACTGTTGCAAAAAGAAGCTTCTTTAATGACAGTGTACGGTATACTTGTTAGGGTAGCAGGCAGGTCTGTGTATTGTTGAGTCTTAAGAATTCTCTGTGTGTTCTGGAGATCAATAGTTTGTCAGATATGTGATTCTCAAATGCTTTCTCCCTTTTTGTGGGTTTCCATTTTATTCTATTGGTAGTGTCTTTGTATATGAAAATTCTTTAAATATTCATGAAATCCTGTTTGTTTTTTCTTTTGTTACATATCTTTGGTGTCATATCCAAAAAGAAAAAAAATGCTGAATCCAAAGTCATGAAGTTTCCCCATGTTTCTTCTAAGGTTTGATAGCTTTATATCTTATAATGAAGTCTTTGATTCATTTGAGTGATTTTCGTATATGGCATTAAGAAAGTGTCCAAATTTAATTCTATCGTATGCGAACATTTACAAGTTTCCCCAGCACCATTTATTGAAAAGTATGTTTTTTCCCTCATCAAATGGTTTCAACACCCTTGTCAAAAATCACTCAACAATATATGTGAGGATTCGTTCCTGGGCTCTTCATTTTGTTCCATTGATCTCATGTTTTGATTGCTATAGTTTTGTGGTGCAATTTTAAATCAGAAAATATAAGTCTTTCAACTTTGTTCTTTGTCAGCATTGTTTGGGCAATTTGAGTTCCCTAGAGATTCCATTTGAATTTTAGGTTGAATTTTTTATATTTCTTCAAAAAATGATGTGGGAATTTGGTTAGGGATTGCATTGACTCTATAGATGGTTTTGCTTTGGTAGTATTGATAGTTTAGCAATATTCATCTTCCAGTCCATGAACATGGGTGTCTTTCTGTTTATTTATGTTTTCTTTCATTTCTTTCAAGAATCACACACACCCCATTTAAAAATATATTTTTTTATTATTTTTATATTTTATTTAGTATTTTTGTTTTATGTGTATGAGTGTATTGCCTGCATGTATGTGAGTGCACCTGTGTTGTGCAATGCTGCGGAAGTCAGAAGAGGGCATCAGATTCCCCTGGAACTGGAGTCAAGGATGGTTCATAGACACCATGTGGGTGCTGGGAATTGAACCCAGGTCTTTTGGAAGAACAAGTGTTCTTAACTGCTGTGCTATCTCTCAAGTCCCCACTTTTTTTGGGGGGGGGGCAGAATCTCGCTAGGTAGCTAGCCCTCACTACCTAGAATTTGCTATGCAGACCAGGCTGGCCTGGAACTCAGAATTCCACCTGCTTTTGCCTCCTGAATGTTGTGCCTAAAGACTTGTGCCACCATGTCCAGCCAGTCATTTGTATTCATACAGGGTTTTAACCATTTTAGCAGTAGGAGGAGTGGAGGAGATTCCTTCCTGGGGTCTCCATAATATTGGCTTATTGTTACCAAGCACACAACAGGCAAGTGGCAATATGGATTTGTAAAGTAACGACAATGTTTAGCTTTTTCTGCTAGAGCAACAAGGTGAGCATCAGCCTTTCCTTCTTTTAGAATACTGAATTTAGAGTTGGTTGTGGTATCTCAGCACTCAGTAAATTGAGGCAGGAGAAATTCTGAGTTTGAAGCTAGCTTGGGCTACATAGTGAATACCAGGTTAGTTTCCTATCTCAAAAAAACTTAAAAAACACAACACTCATATGTACACCCCCCCCCAACCACATAAAGGACAAAAGAAAAAAAACTGAAAAAAGTCTTAAAACCAACTGATAGAACAATGGACAGGTGAGTGATCACAGTTTTCACAGTCTCCTAAAATGTTCAGTCAAATCTGTTCTTCACTTTTTTTTTCCTGAGGGAGCTTTCACTCTTACTGAAGTGACACTAAACTCATGGTAGTAACTGGCAGGGTCACACTTGTATATCTGAGGGCCTCGTTCTTCATCTATGTGAGTTCAAATCACATAAAACCCAAGTGGTCTCCTTTTAGCATTTAGATTTGGGAATTATCAGCAATCCCTTCCTTGTTGTTTACTATGGATGTTATGTTATTTGTTTTTCTTTCTGAGACAGGGTCTTCTGGTAGTCCCACCTGGTCTGGAACTTGCTTTGTAGACCAGGCTATCCTCAGTCTCACAGAGATCCACCTACCTCTGCCTCCCGAGTGCTCCTATTGGTTTTTGAGACAAGATCTTTCTGTGTATTCCAGGCTAGCCTTGAACTTGCTATCCTTCTGCCCACAACTCCTGAGTGTTCGTATGTGCCACCATACCTGGTGGACAGTTCTTTCACACAGCATTTCCATAAAGAATCTTAGAACCTGTACTTGTATTTCCAGTGAGCTAATTCATACATGCCCCCCTGTTTCTGGGATCTGTTGACAGCTGCTATTTCTGTCAAACAGCCTTTGCTTTGGGTTATCTTAAATAATTGAATCCTTATGCTGGAATCTAATAATTTCTTAAGTGTGATAATTACTTCATAGTCTTTTCCTCTGGCAGCTACTGATTCAGTCATCCTGGTGAATAGACATAAATGTACAATATATTTGATAGAACCAGTCCTTGGTTGAAGAAATGCCAGTGGGGCAGTCAGAACCAGGGCTAGAGCCGCAACACCTGTTCCTACATCCAGTACTTCAGTCTCTGGGTCCCATAACTCCCACAGGAGGCATCTAAGCCTCTCCTGAAAATTAATTGCAGTGACTCTCTCAAGAAATTCTGTAATCTCAGCACAGGGAGATAGAAGAAGGAGGATCAAGAGTTCAAGGTCGTCCTCAGCTACAAACTGAGTTTGAGGTTACCCTGGGATTCATGAGACCTTGTCTCAAAGGAAAAGAAAAGAATTCTTGAAAAAAAATTGAAATTATTTTAATATTTTAATTTTTCAGTATAAATCTTTCACTTCCTTGATGAAGTTGTATTTTTTTTTTTGAGAGGGTCTCACTATACAGTCCTTGGGTAGCCTGCTGGAACTTGCTATGTAAACAAGGCTGACCTTGAATTCACAGAGATCCGCTTGCCCTGCCTTCCAAGTGCTGGAACTAAAGGCATGCACCACTGTGCTTGGCAGAATTGTCTTTTTAATTTCTTTTTAAAAATATTTTATTATTTATTTTTATTTTATGTGTATGAGTGTATTGCCTGCATGTATGTGAGTGCACCCATGTCATGCAATGCCGCAGAGGTCAGAAGAGGGCTTCAGATTCCCCTGGAACTGGAGTTAAGGATGGTTTGTAGCTGCCATGTGGGTGCTGGGAATTGAACCCGAGTCCTCTGCAAGAGCAGCCAGTGGTCTTAACCACTGAGCCGTCTCTCCAGCCCCTAATTTCTTTTTTAAGATTATTCATTGTTGGGCTTGGAGAGATGACTCGTGGTTAAGAGCACTTGCTGCTCTTGTAGAAAACCCAGGTTCAGGTCCTAGCACTCATATAGCAGTTCACAACCATCTGTAACTCCAGTCATAGGGGATCCAATGCCCTCTTCTGACCTCTGTCAGCACATACACGATATACATATACACATGCAGGCAAAACATTCATGTACGCATATAAAAAAGGAAAGATTGGGGGCTGGAGTGATGGCTCAGTGGTTAAGAGCTCATACTGCTCTTGCAGAGGACCTGAGTTCAGTTCCCAGAACCCATGTCAGACAGCTCACAACCACCTGTAACTCCCATACCAGGGGATGTGGCCTCAGAGGACACCCACACAAACATGCACATATAGACACACACACATAAACATAAATAAAAAATAAAATAAATCTTTAAAAGAAGATTGTTCATTGTTGATATACAGTAATGCAACTGATTTTTATGTGTTATTTTATATTTTGGAATTTTTCCTTAGTTTTAGTTTTAACAGTTTTTAGTAGAATATTTAGCAATTTCTGCATATGAAATCAGTGAATGCAGAAATCTGCATCAGTGAATGCAGATAGTTTTACCTTTTACTTTCTAGTATGGATGCTTTTAATTTATTTATAGAAATATGTTTTAATTTGAACTGACATATAGTAAGTATGCATATTTTATGGGATCCATTGTCACATTTCAATACATGTATATAATATGTAATGATCATATAAGGGTAATTGGTATATCTATTAACTCAGATACATGTTTATTTGTGCTGCAAACATTTGTAATCTTCTTTACTATCAATGTTGAAATAGAAGATGAGTTATTGTTGACCACAGCTAGACTGCAGTACTGTAGAAGTTATTCCTCTGACTGGACCACACCTACCTGTACCACCCTCCCTCCATCCCTTCTTCCTTCACATTCCTTATGGACTCTGTTAACCACTGTTCTCCTTTCTTTTTGCTTTAATTTCTTTGTCTTTAAAATTTTTAAAAATTATCAGTGTGTGTGTGTGTGTGTGTGTGTGTGTGCGTGTGCGTGTGTGTGAGTGTGTGTGTGTGTATGATTTGGGGGCATATGCACATATGTGGAGGTCAGAGGATGACTTTATGAAGTCGGTTTTCTCCATCCACCTTTACATGGATTTTGGGGATTGGACTTACTTACTGAGCCCTCTTGCTGGTCCTTCTTTAATTTCTTCTTGTTGTCTAATTGCTCTAACAACAACTTCTAATATTATGTTGAATAGTACAGGCAAATCCCCATCTTGTTAGAATCTCAGTTCTTTAAGTCTTTTACCATCAAGTATATTTGCCATGAGTTTTAAAAAATATTTTATTATTTTTATTTTATGTGTATGAGCATATTGCCTGTATGCATATGTAAGTGTACCCATGTGCACTTACCCACGTGCAATGCCCACAGAGGTCAGAAGAGGGTGTTGGGTCCCTGGAACTGAAGTTATGAAAGGTTTTTATCTGCCATGTCGGTGCTGGGAACCAAATCTGGGTCCTCTGCAAGAGCAGCCAGTGCTCTTAACTGCTGAGCCATCTCTCCAGCTCCTGCCATGAGTTTTTAAAATTAATTAAATAATTATTTTGTGTGTATGTATCTGTGTGGTGTACCATATGATAAAGATCATACCATGTGGAGGTTGGAGGACAATTGGTGGGAGCTGTTCTTTCTTTCCATCATGGGATATAGACCTCATATTGCTGGGTTTGCTGGCAAGGGCTTTTACCCACTGAGCTATCTCATTGAATTTGCTATACATTTTGTTTGTTTGTTTCTTGAGAAGGAGACCTGTGTAGCCCCAGCTGACCTGGAACTCACTGTGTAGACCAGCTGGCCTCCATCTCATAGAGGTCTGCCTACCTCTGCCTCTTGAGTGCTGGGATTAAAGGTATGTGCCACCACATCTGTCTCCTACTGAGTTTTAATATGATCTTTATCATATTCTTACTTTCCTCAGTGATTTTGTTTTAAATAAAAGGATGCTGGATTTCATATGTGCTTTTTCTACAGCAATCAAGATAGTAACTTTTTTCTTCATCCTACAAATACAATGCATGTATATAAATTGATTTGCGTATGTTGAGCCATCTTTGAATTCCAAAAGTAAATTTCATTGGTTATGATTTACAATCCTTTTACTATGCTGTTAAACTCAATTTTCTGGTATTTTATTGAGGACTTTTGGATCAGCATTCATAAGGGATAGTAATCTGTGGTTTTCTTATGGTATCTTTGTCTGGTTTTGGAAATGCTGGCTTCATAGAATGAGTTAAGAAGTATTTCCTTCTTTTTAATGTGTATTTATTTATTTATTATTTGGTCTTTTTGAGACAGGGTTTCCCTGTAGCTCCAGCTAGCCTGGAACTCATTATGTAGACCAGGCTGGCCTAGAACTCACAAAGATCTGCCTACCTCTGCCTCCCAAGTGCTGGGGTTAAAAGCATGCACCACCATGCCTGGCCTTTTTGTATATTCTATGGCTAATTTTCTTTATAGTTATCATAAACATAACATTAAACGTTCTGAAGCTTTATCAGTCTAAAGTTATGACAACTTAATTTCAGTAGCATTTAAAAAACTCTGCTTCTATACAGCCTATCTCACCTCTTTCAGTTATTAATATCACAAAATGACATCTTTATGCTTTGTGTATCTGAAAACAGATTAATTCTGTGTATGTGTGTGTGTGTGTGTGTGTGGTATAGACTTGTACATGTTCATGTATGTGTGTATACATGGAGGTCAAGGTTGACATCAGGTATCTTCTTCTACCACACAGTTACAGTAGCAGTAGCTTAATTGTTCACTTCCTTACCTTTGCCAAGGATTGCTGTTTTTCATGTATCTTTGAGTTACTGTTTAGGGGCCTTTTATTTTAACCTACAGGACTAGTAGTTATGAACTCCATTAGATTCTCTCTCTCTCTCTCTCTCTCACACATACACACACACACACACACACACACACACACACACACATACACATTGACATCAGGTATCCTAGGAAAGTGATCCATCATTGAGTTATATCCACAGTCCCTGAACTTTGAGGTTTAATTTTATTTTTGGTGCTGGGGATTGAACCAGGACCTCCCTGCAAGCTAAGTGTGCACTCTTACCATTAAGCTACATTCTAGCTCTCCTCCTTTCTGAAAGACAGTTTTGCTTAGAATATGATTCTTGGTTGACAGAAGTATGGAAACAATTATATTGTGTATCTCTTTGTGTCAATCACTTCTTTCCTGTTGTTTCCAATGCTCTTTGACTTTAGCTTTTGACAGTTGTATTATTATGTACTTTGGTCTAGATTTGTTTAAGTTTGTCCTATTAGAACTTGCTTGAGTTTCTTTAATATTTATATTCATGTCTTTGATCAGTTTGGGGGGAGTTTGCACCATTATTTCTTCAAATATCCATGTGTTTCTTTCTTCTCCTTGTGGACTTATTATAATGCATATGTGGGTCCACTTGATGTCCACAGGGGCCTCTCTATGTGTACCTCGGTGTGTATCTTGTATGTATCAGTGCATGCTTCTTTGCATGTACTTCTAAGTGTGTAATCCTCTTTGTACCTCTTATGTGTACCTCTGTCCTGGTTTGTTTCTCCATTGCTGTGACAAAACACTCTGACCAATACCGACTTGGGGAGGAAAGGGTTTATTTAGCTTACATATCCTGGGTTACAGTTCATCTGGGAGCCCAAGGTAGGAACTCAGGGCAGGAACCTGGAGGCAGGAGCTGGAGCACAGGCCATGGAGGAACACTGCTTACTGGCT